ATGTTGGTGGATTACATGTTACAGGGAATTGGGGACAAGTGTTTTTTATCCTCTAAGTGTGATAAAATTAAAATGCACTCTTGACCTTTCAGAAAAGTATGATAGAAAGAAAGATAGCCAGGGAATTAAAAAGACCCAAAAATGAAGATTCAAAGTGTGGACGTAGAAATCAATTTGTAAATTAAATCCTTCTGTATTGTCAGGCGAGACTCCCAGAAATTAAACTCTCTCCAGTATTTTACCCTCTAAGTGCTGTTAGGGCAAATATTAGTGTCATGCATCAAGCAAAACTATGTCAGGAAGTGTAAGTAGTTTTTTGTGATGTATGAAGACTGAAGTTACTTATCGTGCCTCTGTGTTATAAGATAGCAAAACAAATAGTCTGTTAGGATGAAGAGATCTGTTATCTGTTATCTACTTGGTCAATGCTTGAATCTTTTTTAACTCACTTTATGCTTGAGTATGGATCCAAGCTGATAGTACACATTACTTACTCATATGTTCAGGTATGCTAACAATTTTAAGTATATACCTAATTAAGTTTGTTCCAAATTAAAGAGAAGTCCTTGACTGATTTAGTAGTGAAATTCCCATTGAATTAATTGAAATACTGTTTGGTCTCAGCCTCTAGAATTACAAGCTGCCATCCTTTTCTCTGATTTAATATCCTCATCTTTATTTAAAATGCAGCCTTTTTTTCCCCTGTCTTATTTTTGCAGTGTTAGGGAAAGCTAAACAGTTTAATACAGAAACATTCCTTTTCCTGTCTTGAAGTCATAGCAGCATATTCATTTTCCTTTCTGTAACAGGTCACTTGGGGCTTGCAAATTGTATATATAACTTTAATGTTTTTTAAATAAAACGTTTTATGTGACAACAGTTCAACAAGCTTTCATCCACCACAGAAGTTCTAATTAACTTAATTGAATAAGTGAAATACATCAGCAAAATTTCATGATTGGCTGTGCTAATTGCTTAGAAATGCACTATGGTTACATTTTATAATTGTTTACCAAGTTTTGCAAGCATATAGTCTTTTAAATAGAAGACTTTGTAGGATTAATATTTCAATCTTTCTTCTTCTTTTACGCTGAAAACTTCTATAAAGGTGTGTCACGATCCGGTATTCGGACACGTGGCAATTTTTCATAAAGGTGATCCCAACTGGTGAAATTAAGATGCAAACGAGGTCAGATGTCACATGCACAACAAACATTTATTAGAGTAACAAAGCAAAGGTCCCTAGAACGGATAGGACAGGCAGGAAAACAGAGACAGAAAAGAGAGGAGAAAGCAGAGAGATAGAGGACAGCAAGCGAGAGAGCATAGTTACCACCCACGGTGCAGCGATGTCGTCGGTGGGGAAGTGGTTCCTGGTGGAAAAGTACTTCAAATGCACCCATAGAGTCCCAGACTTTTATACAGTTCTTGCCCACTGCCCCCCCACTTTTCTTTCCGGAGTAAGGAAAAACTCCTATCTTCTCAGTGCTCCTCTGAGATAGGAAGGGGGGGTAGGTATGGCCCCGAGTCAAGGCCTGCAGATAGTCCTTTCTGGGATAACTGCTGAGTCCTTTTTGGGATAATTGCTGAGATCTCTGCATAACGAAGGGGAGGATGAGACGACTGACACCACAGGTTTAATTTATTGCAGGGGAGCATCCTGCTCCCTAAGAGTCCATCAACAGATGTTCTTTCTCAGATGTCACAAGACATACACCAGATATCTTGCACTTATCTCTTGGATTGTTCGAGACAAACACTGTGAATTCTGAATGCCACAAAGGTGTCATGTCAAAGGTCACGCACATTCTGTTTGCATTAGCAATATTATTTTACCTTTTTTACACTAGTAATATTTCCATCCCCCCCCCCTTTTTTTTTTTTCTTATTACACCTCTTAAAGTGTTGCAGGGTTTCAGAGTTTTCAGATAACTCAGCCACTTTCATGTAGGAGAGGTGCTTTCAGCCAAGAGCCTCCTCAACAGGACAAATTATTTAAATTTGGGTGTTCCTTTTTAATTTAATCCTGCAATAAAGGAGACATGGAAACATGTTTAATAAACAATTATTTGCATGCTTTGTGAACTTTGCCATATTTTTACATTAACTAAAGATTTTGTAGACATTTCTGGAAATTGCTATTGACTTGGGTACCTTACTGAATTAATTCCTGCAGTGTAGATTAACTGAAAGCTAAATACTCCACATCTGCTCAGCTGACACATTTCACCATATAAACATTGACCTTTGGAGCACTATTTTAGTGATGAGGCCTATACAGCTGAGAATCAGGTCAATATTTTTCAGCTCTGAGAAGACAGAAAAATGACTTTAAAAAGCATTTAATAAAAAAAAATCATGAGCACTCGGAAGTCTCCTGGCCTGTGGGAAAGGAAAACTCCTGGCTCATGTCCTTCAGATGTGCCCAGCAGAGCAGGGGTGGGACAGCACTTACTAACAGTGGAGAAGAGAACATAGGCTTGGGGGGCAGGCAGAGGTCAGAGATCTGTTAAGAAGCTATCTTTCTGCTAATTGGTGTAAAAGCCTGAACTGCTAGAGCAACAGGAACTGAATTTGTAGTTTATGGTGGTTTTTTGTTGTTGTTGTTGTTGTGGCTTCTTGCCTACACATTCCGCTCCAGAAGTCAAGCAAGCTGGTTGTGGTGGTTGGCATTAGAGCCCCTCCAAGAAGTGAACAGCAGGGAGAGCTGGCAGTTCTTTTGACTGAATGAGTTGTTGTAGGCCAGGGAAGGCATGATGGGAAAGAAAAACTGAAGTAAAAAGCAGCTTTCCCACAGTGCACA